TTATTTTATGTGTATGAGTGTTATGCCTACATGTAGGTAAGTGCACCGTGTCGTGCAATGCCTGCGGAGGACAGAAGAGGCTGTCGGATCCCCTGGAACTGGAGTTATGGACAGTTGTTAGCTGCCATGTGGGTGCTGGGATTCGAACCCGGGTCTTCTGCAAGAACAATCAGTGTTCTTAACCACTGAGCCATCTCTCCAGCCCCTATTTATCATCTTTTATGTGTATGAGTGTTTGTATATGTATATCATATGCTTGCAATACCTGTGGAAGTCAGAAGAGGGCATTGGATCCCCTGTAACTGGAGTTACAGGGGGTTGTTAGCTTGGATGTGAGTGCTGGAATCTGGATTCTCTGCAAGAACAGCCAGTACTCTTAATCACTGAGCCATTTCTCCAGTCCCCTCTTTTTAAAGATTTATTTATCATTTATGTATATGTGTATGTATGTGTATGTGCATGTGGGTGCCCTAGGAGGCCAGAAGAGGGTGTCGAATCCCCTGGAACTGGAGTTACAGATGGATGTGAATAAATCAACGTGGTGCTGGGAAGTGAACTCAGGTCCTCTGACTGCCGAGGCACCTCTCCAGTCCCCACTATTATATTTACTGATGGTCCTTTATTTTTTTTAAGGGGCTCTGGGGATGGAACCCATGGCCTCATGAACACTAAGCAGGTGCTCTGCCACTGCACCATGCCACAGACCACCTCACCCATAGCCAGCTCTTTCTGCTCATATCCATGGACTGTCACAATTGGCCTCATCGTTGTAGACTTCAGACCACTTATACTTTGTTTTTGAGGCCTGGCTTTGTAGCTAGCCCTGGATGGCTTGAGCTTATAATCCTCCATCAGTCTCCCAAATTCTGTGCACACAGCTAGCCCACTTGTTTTCTGTTGTTCTTGCTTGCTTGCTTTAGAGCATGATGTCCTGTAGCTGTAGCTCAGGAAAGCCTGCAGCTCACAAAGTAGTTGAACTCCTGATTCTTTTGCTCTACTTTCTCAGCGCTGGGATCAGTGTGTACCAGTACATCCAAACCCAGGGTTTACTGAGTGCTAGGCAAACACTCTACCTACTGAGTTGCATCTCACACCCCAGGCCATCTATTCTTTTTTTATATTATTATTTTGTATATGTGTGTGTGTGTGTGTGTGTGTGTGTGTGTGTGTGTGTGTGTGTGTGTGTAGTGCAGGTGCCCATAGAGGCCAGAAGAGGGTGTTGGAACTTATGAAGCTGGAGTTACAGGCCTGGGTGCTGGGAATCAAACTCTGATCCTCTGCAAGAGCATTATGTGCTCTTAACTGCTGAGCCATCCCTCCAGTCAAAGACACCTAACTCCTTACAGTCCCTTTTTTTTTTCTTTTTCTTTTTTTCTTTTTTTTTTTTTTTTTTTTTTTTGTCTTTTTGAGACAGGGTCTCTCTGTAGCCCCCTCTGGCCTTGGAACTAACTATGTAGACCAGGCTGACCTTGAACTCACAGAGTTCTACCTGCCTCTGCCTCTGGAGTGCTGGGATTAAAGGCGTGCACCACCACCTCTCTACTAGCCCTGACCTTTTGAAACTTCCTGGCTCACCAGAGACCGGGCCTCCATGCAGCCCTTCTAAATGCCAGGTTATTCTCAGGTCTCTCCCCTTTCTGCTCTGCCAGTAAACACTACAACTTTTTGCTTAGACCTTGGCTAAGAGGAGGTGAACCACACCCCCCTCAAATGCCCACCCAAACCTCAGACTCAGCCTTCCGTCCTGCCCAAATCATAGACACCCCTGTGCCCACCTCTCTTACCAAGCCTGGCAGAACTCCTCACAGAGCAGCTGTGCTTGGTGTACCCCCAGCAGCAGTAGGTGGAAACGATTGCGGAGGGCATGTTGGAGGTGTCCCAGGAATGTTTCACATCTGGACGTCAGGAGAGACAAGACAGGACAGGTCAGGATCTGCAGCAGAGGTTAAGGGTCTGACCCTAGGCTAGGGTAACCGAGACAAAGCACAAAGCACAGAGGGTGGGGAACGCTAGAGGTTGGGGTACTTACCCAGGGCTTGGCATCCCGCAGCTCTCCAGAAAGATCCCTGGCCCAGATGTCTCTGGTGTGCCCATCTCAGAGGGACAGCAGGGTGCTGGCACCAGTGATGCCTGTGAGGCAGAATCTTGGATCCTCGCGTAAGGTTGGGGAACCAAAGACTGAGGGTTCCCTAAACAAAGGAGAACACAGTTACATCAGTTTTCAAAGAGAAACGCTTTCAAGATATTCTCTTTAGTGTAGTGGCACAGATCTGTAATCCCAGATACTTGGGAGGCTGAGGCAAAAGGATTTCAAATTCAAGACAAGGCTAGGCAACTTAGAGTGAGACTAAAAAGAAAAACAAATAAATGAATAGGGCTAGGGATGTAGCTCAGTGGTAGAACACTTGTCTAACATGTGAAGGCCCTAGGTTCAATTCCTAGGGAAATTTTTTTTTTTTTTTTGGTATAAAATGCAGCTTGGAGCCAGGCATGGTGGCGGACACCTTTAATCCCAGCACTTTCGAGGCAGAGGCAGGTGAATCTCTGTGGGTTCAAGGCCAGCTTGATCTATTTATCGTCCTCTTTTTTTTTTTTTTTTTTTTTTTTTAAAAAAAAAAAAAAAAAAAAAAAAAAAAAAAAAGAAAGAAAAGAAAAGCAGCTTGGAGCAGTAATAACCATACACCACTCATAATAATCAGTTTATATCTGTCTGTGCTTCAAAATGATAGAAATGCTTATCCATGTAATCTGCACAATACATCTATATTAAGTCTGTTATTTCTCCCATGTTTATTTATTTATTAATTTATTTACCAGTGATGCATCCAGAGCACTGTACATACTAGGCAATTCTACCACTGAGCTATATCTTCTGGAATTCCCTATGCACACCAGCCTGGTCTCCAATGCACAAAGGCTGCCTTCCAAGTGCTGGGATTAAAGGCGTGTACAACCATACCTGGCCCTATTTATTTACTGTTGTTTTATTTTTAAAATTTTTTTATGTGTATGTGTGTATTGCCTGCATGTAGGTAGGTGCACCCATGTCGTGCAGTGCCTGAGGAGGACAGAAGAGGCTGTCAGATCTCCTGGAACTGGAGTTACAGACAGTTGTTAGCTGCCATGTGGGTGCTGGGATTCAAACCCGGATCTTCTGCAAGAACAACCGGTGTTCTTAACTCTCCAGCCCTGTTGTTTTATTTTTAATTTATTGTATTTATGTGTATCAGTATATTGCCTACATGTATGTTAGTGCACCCATGTGGTACAATGTCCTTGGAGGTCAGAAGAGGGCACTGGATTCCCCTGGAACTGGAGTTATGGACAGTTGTTATCAGCCAAGTAGGTACTGGGAATCAAACCTAGGTTCTCTGCAAGAGCAGCCAGTGCTCTTAACCACTGAGCCATCTCTCCAGCCCCTGGCCCTACTTATTTTGATTCTTTTTCTCTTTTTTTTTTTTTTTTTCGTCTTTTTGAGACAGGGTTTCCTTGTAGCCCCAGCTGTCCTGGAACTCACTATGTAGACCAGGCTGGCCTTGAACTCACAAAGATCTGCCTGTCTCTGTCTCCCAAGTGCTGGGATTAAAGGCGTGCGCCACCACGCCCAGCTTATTTTGATTTTTAAAAATTATATTTTATGCCAGATAGGAGATACCTTCTTTTGAAGGTTGGCCAGGGTGGCCCAAGGGACTCCCAGATAGTAACCCAGCAGAGAACTGGAAAATGAACAGCAGACCCCATTCTTATCTAAAGGAATATTGACAACCAATTGCTGCTAGATGAGGAACAGCTGACCTTCCTAAAAGTCCTCTAGATAAGCTGACTATATTCACCAGATGGACAAGTATCAGGGAACGGCGGGGAGTGACGACATCACATAGTCTGACAGTAGCAGGGATAACAGAGTATAAGGGCTCTAGTGGGGGGAGGGAGGCTATGGGAGGGTGCCATATGGGAAGTGGGTGTATAGTTGAATAAGATGGTTTGGGATGTTCTGTGTGATATACACACAAAAAAAAAATCAACAAAATTTTTAAAATGTATTATATTTGAGGAAGAAAGACATGTGCAAACATCTAAGCGTTAGTAGCATTAAAAATGTAGGAAACAGCATATTTTAAAATGAAATGGAGATTGTCTTTAAAGGGTAAAAACTCATTCAATTATATGTCTTACAGGGCTTATACTGAGTTCAATATTGTATAACTATTAATTGAACAGCGGACCTAAAAATTTTATAGCCACTTTTGAAAGTGATGTATCTTTGCTCTGGAAACTGTTAATGAGTATGTTAAAGCTGTAATGAAATGCTGCTTCTGAAAAAAAAAAGAGAAAACATAAGAACCTTGGAGTACTCAAACTTCAAAAACAGTAAATTTTTAATGAAAAAATTATATTTTATTTTGTGTGTACGTGTGCATGCATGCTCATGTGCCACAGTACATGTAGGAGGTCAGAGGACAACTTTATGGAGTTGATTGTCTTCTTACATCAGGTGAGTTCCAGGGATTAAACTCTGGTCCTTGGAATTGGTGGCAGGTGCCACTGAGCCATCTTGCCGGCCTTATTTATATATTTATTTAGAGACAGGGTCTACATAGCCTAGGGTAACCTCCAGCTCCATGTGTAGCTGAAGCTGACCATAAAATCCTAATCCTCTTACCTCTGCCTTCTATGTATTGGGATTATAGGCATGTGTCACCATGCCTAACACTCTTCCCATTGTTTAGTAGGTCTGTAAAGGTGGACTGACTTGCCCAGGGTCACAGAGCTCCAAAGTGGTGGATTTGAATTAGGCAGTCTGACACCCAGAGTCCAGACTGTTAAGCAACATTCTCCAGCACTATTTCTGGCTGCCCCCCTCATTGCCACCCCTCTCACAAGTATATTTTGAATGAGGTTTCTGGGTGTTGGAGTGAGACAGGATACTCACCTGCCAGGTGTAGTTGGTCTGTGCTCACACTGGTTTCGAACCCATGGTGTCCCCAGAACCTATCTTGAAATGTATGGTTCCCTCCACAAACCACCAAGAGTATCCATGCCAGGGTCAGTTGCAGGGCCCAGGCCAGGCCACTAGATTCAAAGTGGCCTTTGTAGGCCATGTCCACCGGAGACAAGAGCCAGCTGGTGTGGAGCGGTAAGGTGTGACTGTTCCTTCTAGGAGCTTAGATTGACACTCTTGGGAACATACCAGAAACCAGTACCAGGCAGCACAAAAGATGGACAGTGGACGAGGAGTCAGGGGCTCTTCAAACTCCAGGGGGCTTCTAACTTAGGAGCCCCTCCCAGCAGAACCCATCCCTTCAGGTCCAAAGGATACCTCCCAGCTTAAGTCACACATCCAACACATCTCTCACCATTTACTCTCTGCCACCAACGTTCCTCAGAGGCAAAAGGACCACCTCAGCTCTCTCAAGCCCCTCTCCTGCCTGGGACTTCTTCTCCTTCCCCAGTGCAGCCTCCTCCCTACCTCTTGCTCACTCCTCTCCCAGTCACCTTTTCTCTGCTCACAATTGGCTTAGGGGCTTCCACCCAGGGCTGGACTTTTGGTATCAATCTGGGTTGTGGCAGGGCTAGGGTTCTGCTGCTGGCTTCCAGAAGCTTCAGGGCAGGGAAAGGTAACAGTGTGGGGGACAAGTCTAGTCCCTTTCCACCTCCCTACCCCATGCCACTCACCTGTTAATTGGCTGTAGTCTAGAGTCTGCTGTGACACCTGAGAACCAAGTAAGGAAACTGGCAGCTTCGAGGGGTGTGGTTTGATTCAGGGGTGGAGCTTGCCCCCCCAGACCAAAAGCAGGTGCACTTGGAACTGGTGCATTATACCCACGTGCTTGCCCTATGAACTTGAGA